CACAAATAGGAAATTTAATGCTTGGGGCCATAGGTGAAATGGCTTTAGTTATTATCATCCAATTTATGATCAGAAATTTCTAATCACATACTGAATGTATAAAATAACTTAATGTACTTATCAAGGTGAAATATTATTCGGATAGGAGGGTCTGTATTTTAATGAGCATTTCCCTTTAAAAAAATAAGATTTTCTTATTCACGTCATCTTTATTTATCTTATTTAACTATCATTGGCTGCATCCTATATTTCAGGATTAAAAGTACATATTTTAAAGCTAACTGAATAACATGTTCTATCTTTCTCATACGTCTTTGAATTGAAAGTTTGGGAAATTGATATTTTATTTATCATAAAGCTGGTTTTATGGTAAATACCTTAGCCCAAGGTTCGAAAGCCTTATTTAAAGCTTATTAAAGTAAATTTAAATTTATTATAATGTCTACTCAATTAGAGTCAATTGAATTTCCACAAAAAAATCAGCCCAGTTAATAATCCTTTGCGTACATTTACCAAAGTCAAATCAAATTTCTTGCGAAGATATAATTTTGAGACTTCGTGCAAAGTAACTTTTATTAAATTGGTCTAACTTAAAGCATTATGGCTAGCTGTTTAAAAAAGGTGACTGTCCAAAAAGTTTGCAAGTGAAATGAATTACTTTAAAGAAATTGCTCTAAATAGATATTTATATAATAAAACAAAATGAAAAATAGCAAATTAATATATTTAGCGTCTGGGGTTTTGGAAAAAAGGAATTATTTTGTTCCTGTTTGACTATAATTAATGAAATTCTAATTCAATTTTTTTTGTCTGCGCGGAAGTTACTGAAAGCAATGCAAGAAACATTTTACAATGCCGACTTTTGCCTAGTAAAAATGGGAAAAATAATTTATTTTTTTATATTTACGCTAAATCAATAAAATTTAAGTACTTTTACATACACAATTTTATTGTCTTAAAAAGGCACTCAAGTAATATATGCCTATTTAAAAGAATTTGTGAAGTAGGTATTTCTAATGCAATTAAACTGCACTTTCGAACAATGAAGAGGGCGCGATTGTGCGCTGTGGCCTTCTCAGCTAGTCAGCTATTAATGCTCATTCAAGTTAAGTAAATGCTAGCTGTGTTCATAATTTTAATAAATGCTACATTTACTATATGTCTGCTTTTTCTTTTCCATGGGGATAAGTAAATTGATTAGGGGGGCTACTAATGCAAGGGTATTTTTCCATAGCGATCACTAAGGATAAGTTAAGGCTTAATCATGCAGCAATGTGCTATAGTTTTAAAGTTGTGTTTTTACTGAACAACACAAATTATCTTTTAACAGGCGGTTAATCAAACGTTTCGGTAAATTGGCTTTTCCCAAATGGATATTCAATATCC